ACCAATTTTAACCCAGTTATGAACTCCACGACTAATTAATTCTGACGTGAGTGCGTACTTACACTTCAAAAGAATTTCAAACATGGATATCACGAAGGAAAATTCGATAAAGGATTTTTGAGATCGTTTTTTATGTAGTTTTTAAAGAAGTAATTACTACCTTTTAATACATTTCCTAAAAAATTTCAGTATTTACAAACAAAAATTAAAAGGAATGAAAATTTCTCCAATGAAAATTGAAAGTGGTTTTATACTTTTTAATTTTTCATTCCTATTTCTATACGTAAAGAATGTGTAAACTGCCCGTCGACCTGTAATGCCATATTGACGAAAGAAATGCCCTGTGCATCCAGAGACTCACCGCAGCACCAAGTCGTAGCATCCTTGCACGTGGACCACCAACCTCGAAGTGCGACCGGAAACATGAGTTCAAGATAAGGTAGACTCTTATCAGGAGATAAACATACTTCATTGTCCACGTCACCGCTCAGTATCCAATCCACTTCCTCTGCTCCCACACACACATACTCCACCCACCCCTCCACACTTAACCTGCGAGGTCACCAGCCTCCTGAAGGCAAATACTTCCCTTCGAGGATTAAGGTCAATTATCTGGAAGTCCAGCGTTAAAGCTCTCAAACCATCTCTATTCTACAGGTTTCTTTCACTGGGCGATACCTCTTCACATCATATTTATCGTTGCTCTAATTATTGACCTGAATCGAATTTTCTTGTATTTCTAAGAATTTGTTCTACCTTCTGCCGTTTACCCTTAAATCCAAGTGAGATGAATTAGAAAATGAGACCTGAAAACGTCACAAAAAAATCAAATCTTCCGAAGACGGGATGTCCAAGTACGAAACATCAATATTTTGGAAGTCATTTATTTAAACTGCAATTGGCATCTAAATACATAAATAAGGTCATATAAGCAAAATAAAATTTATATAATAATGATGATAAAAATAGTGTTAAAATAAAAATAATAATAATATTAATAATTTAAAAACTGTATGATGCTTAAATCATTAAGTTACATTAAGAATAAGAAACATCTCTAATGTAACTCCGCACTGAATCTTGGGACAACTTAATTTGTAATATTTGTACTATTAAGACCGTACAGTGGACTGCATTTCAATTCTCTTCATTATGGCCCTTATCCCGGCAGTGAAAACGTTAGGTTTGTCAGCCCCAGCGACATCTTTGAAGCCGTCTATCAAGCGAACAAAATTATTTCTGAACTTATCCACCAGTGTACCGTCAAATTGAATCTTCTTAAACAGATGACGACAAATTAGTTTGAGTTTATCAGAAAAATCTGGTGTGCTTTTTCCGCTAAAGTTGTTGATGATCCCATCGGACCCAACGGTCCCGTTTACGTGACTTTTTTATAACATGGTCGGCTCAACCAAGAGTTATTTTAACGCATTAAATCCTAGTGATACAGAATTAACAAATTAGCTTTTAGAAAAAATATTGTTTATCAAGTGATGATGTAGTTGCTGATACATTATTTGAACTGAAATGTTCGCACTGTACAGATTCTGAACAAAAAATTAAAGAAGCTGAACCTGAGATTCAGGACATTAACCTCAATATTTTGTAATATATTCATTTATTTATCTATTTGCAGTCTAATTTTTATAAATAAAGTCGTTATTTCAGGGTTAAAAAATGCAAATTATTTTAAATTTTGGTAGGCCACAAAACACTTTCTCGGAAAAGTTAAGAAAATAAAATAGTTGAAAAAATTATCGTAAAAAATGCTTTCATAAAACATATTATAAAACATTATTGTAAAAAAGTGCTTCTATTACGTTTGTTTTAGTCATGCACACTTTTCTTCATTCACTTTCAGTTTGGTTTTTGGCAATAATCAGAGAATTTTAAAACTTTTTAAAAGAGACATTTTGTGCTTGATATTGTATCTATGACTAACTGGCATCTTTTACTTCATAATAAAATATTTGTGTAATTAATTAGTGTATTAAATAGGCTCTAATAACAAGCGGGTGTATTAAACCCAACGTTCCCACTGAGGTCAGGATTTTTCACGTTCCCACCGCCAGGTTAAATCACTTCTCTGCACTGCAGACACCTCACTTCACAATTTAACACTTATGCATCGCTATATAACATACTATTTAAGAATAGAATACTAGTTACGATAAGTCTTTCATTTACTTAATAAGACAATAAATTAATTTCTTAAGCTGTTGAACGCTTCGAGAAAAGGGTTCAAAGGTCTTTGCAGGCAATCTATTCTATTATCGTTCGATTTGTGAAAGAAAATTTCCCGACATCTGTTCTCTGCGGTCTTAAATTTATTTTGTGCCTGTTAATCCCTCTACTGAGGTATGTTGGAACACTTAGCCACCGATTAATTCCTTTCCAAGCTGGATATCCGCTACAAGCTTTATACGAAGCGCAGTCTTGCTACTTATCGCCTGGTTTTGAGTTTTGAGTCTGCCATTTTCTTGTCCTTGAAAGTAAATTTAGCTGCCCTACGTTGAATCCTTTACAAATTTTTACACTGCATAATTTTGTCCGGATCCCAACAAAATGTTTCATATTCCATTATCGGACTAACACGCGATAAATAATTCCCTTCGCATTTGCCGTACTCGTTTTCAAGATGCGCATTACAAAGTAAAGAGATCTTCAGTCTTCTCCTACAACAATATCTGCGTGACATTTCCTGCTTCAATAGTAAATTACTATTGAAATGGATCCCTAGGTACTTACACGAGGAAACTCTCTAAATAATGTCATAGTTTACACGGTAATTTGTTTTTCTGTGATTATGATCCCTGAAAAAAGTGAGGGATTTCCTTTTAGAGCTGGTTTTATGGTTATTCCATTATTTTCCACCCAGTAATGTAACACAAGAAGATCCCATTGCAGCATTTCTTCATCTTTCGAATTCATAGTACGATACTTATGCAATCGTCTGCAAATAGAAAAACATTTTAGATTAAGGGCGCCGGCAGATCACTGACGAAAACTATAAATAGAAAATGTACAATGACACTCCCCTGCGGTATTCCTGACTTAACACTTGCCCCGGAAGATATCTTTAGCCCAATTCAGACTTTCTGTTTTCTGTCTCGCAGAAACTCGCTAATCCACGCCTCCACCCTAAAACAGATGCCTGAATTCATTAATTTCAAGACTTGCCGATCGTGTTGAACGACATCTAACGCTTTGGCAAAACCAATAACTACTGCGCCTACTCTCCCGCCGTGGGTAATCTCATGCCCAACCAGGCGACGTGTTCCTGCCGACTACAGATGTCCATGGGTCACCAACGGGTCATCTGCTGCCACCGGCCTATATCTGACGTATACTCTTTCGAAGTGAAGTATCAGAAATTCATTCATCCATTCCCATAAGCATTCACTTTTATCTAGTTAACAGCGAGAGTAAAGCCCTAAAGGGAATATTATGTAAAAGAGGACTGACTATGCCAGAAACGTGTCCACGTCATTTTGGTCGGGTGGCCACACAAGAAAAATGTGCATTATTCAGTAGCTAGTAAGCAAATGCAATCCATTCGACCCAGGGCGCTCATCCCTGCAGATGTCTCGTGGCTGGCACCCAGATCACAGGTAGGCATACGCTTGGCGCCCTCCCTAATAAATTTAGCGCGTGCTCCTGGTATCTGGAAACGACCGTCGCACTTTCAGTGTGACTGCAGCCCCTCCCTTATGATAGTGTGACTCACAGCGGCTCGGCAAAAAATTGTGTCGCGTGGTCCATTACAATATATCACCTCTAAATTAAATGAACTAAATAAGAAATTATAAGGGAGATATCACAACATTTCAGGTACGGTCAGTATAATACTTTTCAGAAGATACCAAAGCTATGGATTGAACGATTAAAAAGAAATACCCTTACACGTTTTCCAAATTTGAAGTTTATCGTGAAAGCTGTAAATGACGGTGATTGTGACCTTCCACTTTTACTTGCATCTTAAAACTTTAACAACATAATTTGGTTACAGGTTTAGTTAGTTTTCCAACCTTCAGCCAGTGGCAATGTTCATCAATACTCCATTTGTTTCGGTTAACGTTACTAAACTTCGAAACGTGTATCAGCGATTTTTTTAAATGTACGAAACTTAAAGAATTTGAATTTCTAACTTTTCAAGAAGACATATCTTTGAAGTCTTCTTACAAAAATTCAATTAAATTTGTTTCGTTCATGTTTTCGTGTGTCAGTTTCGAATCCCATAGTTCGTAGTGTTGTTTAGAATGAATATTCATTCTTCTCTATCTTTGCAAAGTCGCAGATTTATCCACGAGTGTAATAAAAATCCTGCCTAAAAACACTCACTTAGATGACACTTTTTTTTTCCAAAATTGTGGTTGAGCAATGTTAATTTTTTTCATTTTCCAAAACTACAAAGAGTTTGCAGAGAGTGTAACTAGCACCATTTTTTTACCTTACTTGGATACTTTGGAGGGTAATTTAAAGAGAAAACTTTGAAGGTATTTTTGAGAAAATAATTGTTTAAAAATTGACTCAATTTCGCTTGATATTACCCGAAAATTACTCATATTTTCAGAAAAATGTTCATGATATTATTTCAAGATCGTGTTTTTCGAAGATATTTTATTAAAGAGAAAGATATCTGTCTACAATATATGAAGGCAGACGAGGAAAAAGAGTTGATCTTTTGGAATTTTTGGAAAATTCTGTTTTTACCGAAAACGAGACCTACGCTTCGAGATTCTAACGATTGTATGCTGATAACGTAATTAACTGTTATATTCCAGGGAGCCGAATCGTCATTTCTGTAGAGACTACATTGCTTCATCACGCGGCTGTGCAAGTTGCATTTCATTGCTTTCACAAAACAGTTAAATAACTATGTCGTAGCCTAAAAAAAATTTTATTCAATGAAATTATCATAAAAGTACACATACATTGCTCAAGGTTTCATGAAATAAATTTAACAATAATATAATTATTAATTTTCTTTATTTATAATAACAAAATTAGTATTAATACATTAAATAAAAACGTTTAATTACATGTACCAATTATAGAAATTACAAAAGTGTCACAGGAATCAAAGTGGAGTTGAGAAATAAAGAAATAGGACTAAGAAAAAAGAAGAAAGGAATAAAATACATGAAAAGATAGAGAAGGGAAAGAGAACAATCACTAAGAGAGCTATCAACACAGATATAGTAAATGTGGGGTTTCTGAAATATTAGGTGGAATGCAAATGCGAATTACAACAAATGAATGCAGTCTTTGATATCAATACATGTTGCACCTGAATAGATGTTGTGGTTCACATTAGAGAACTTCAAAAATACCACGTGTATAATAAATACAATACGTATTGAATTACATATAAATACTGTAATGGCATTATACAATTATTGAAAGAATACATATTTTTAGTAATCCAAGCATTCATTATTTTTGGCGTTCTATCAAGTTAAATATCCTATGAGTTCGATGTTACAATTGTATATTGCTTTGTCATACGATTTTTTAGAAGAATGGGAGGGGGACTAGCTCTGTGTTGATATTTTATGATAGGATGGCATTAACAGATATCACGAGAGTGACGGGGAACTACGCCAGCAAACGAGCTAGAAGGGGAAAGAGCAGGAGAGCAGGCAGCAGAACCTTCGTAGGGGCGGAGTTTAACGGGGCCAAGCACTCGTCGAAGAAGACAGTCATTGACATGTACACGTGCTGCACCACCGATCGGATACTGTGGTTCTCGTCAGGGTAACTCTGAAAAAAACAACCAAGCATCGGTATAGTGCACGCTGTTCAAAAAAGTGTACCTGATATATAAAAAAGTACGTAAACATCCTTTCGGTTTCAGAAATTTAGTAATCCTGTGATTCGTATAAAAAATATTAAAACAATGTGTTTTTACACAATATTTTTACGTAGTTTTACACAATAATGCGTTGTACTACAAATTAGCCTAACATACACAACGCTAACATTCTTTTGCGTGGATCGTGATAGCGCTCGGGAGCTGAATCTCTCTCACCTGCGTCAGAAAGAAAATGTTGTTCTCTTCCAGAGCGCGCGCCAGGCGCATGGCTTGCTGGTAATGGACGTTGTCGTCCGCGTTCCCGTGCAGCAAGTAAAACTCGTGCTTCTCGAAGTTGGCAATCTTGTTCGAAATGTTGGCGGCTTTATAACCGGCGTCATTTCTACTTGGCAAGTCCATGTACCGCTCTGTATAAATAGTATCTGTAAAAACGATAAATGTCAGATAAGATTGCATGATGGCTTTCAGTAGAAACGAATAGGAATAACTAGATTCAAATATTCAAAGTTTGCATTTTATGGGAAATTAGCATTAAGCAGAATGGCGAAGGAACGGGAAATTTAAATGATCGAGTTGACAGCACTATAGTCCCGACAATGCGAAACCTATACGGAGTATAGTTGAGAACTCGTTTCCGTTTAGAAATCATGAAGCATTAGAGTGCTGAGAAATGTGCTCTCGCTTTGAAAGCGTTTTACAAGCTGGGAGAGTGTGACAGCTGCGGATTTTCACATCGACGAGTAGCTAACATACTAAGGTATTCGGTGCAGACTATTTTGTTGCCAATGGAATCTTATGTCGAAATCGTATTTACGATTTTAAATGGTTTGACGCTTTCAAGCCAAGTAAAATTTGTTTCTCTAGAGCTCTGCATTATAAAGAGAAACACGCGCTCCGCGGCCGACTGGCTGCCAGCCGCCAAGCAGTGGGCGGTCGGGCACTTTCTGCAACCAGTTGCGTCTGGTGAAGAGCTGTCGACCCATCGGTCGCCACGAGCGATCACACCCGCTCTCTTTAATGAGCGCGCTACCGCAAACACTTCCCATTCCTTGTCTTATTCTTTAAATAGAGCAACGAAGAAACGAATGGCAAGTATACGCTTACTTTCAAACACTAGGCGGTTGTGACGAAGTTGGGAAGAGTAATTTGACAAGATCGAAAGGGTTCAGGATTCACAGAGTCCCTTGAAAGTATAAAGGGCAGGCGGCATCGCAGTGCGTGGAACGCCGAGTGCCACTCATCCGACTACGACCGACGGCCACCGACGGCCACCGACAGTGACCAACTCTGAACTACATAATAGCAGCATGCATGGCATGTTTGCATCATTCAAATAACGTAAAAAACAAAATCATTTATGAACCGCAATCGGGCTTTTCGAACACTTATACCGCCCTTGGTGCATAAATAACAATTAGTAAAAGCTAAAATTTCGAAAGTCACCGACAAACACTTCAAACCTATTTTTTGTGTCCGCGATTGCAGTCCCTACCGTAGAGGTCCCAGGACGTGACGGGCGCGACGGACGCCCCGCAGCGGAACGTGCCGTCGGTGTCCCTCGCCATGGCCATGGCGGTGGCGTAGCCCCCGTAGCTCCACCCCCATATGCCCACGCGCGTCGCGTCGATGTACGGGAACGCCTTCACCAGCGCCTGCGTCACGCCGATCTGGTCTTGCACTTCCACGGTGCCCAGCTGCTTGTAGAGCGCGTACAGCGTGTTGGAGCCTTGGAAGCCCGAGCCGCGGCCGTCGATGGACGCGTAGATGTAGCTCTTGTTGGTTGTGAGGTAGCTGCCCCAGTTCACGGAGAAGGATTCAGACACTTGCTGCGATCCAGGACCACCGTACCTGCCACAATTCAGAAATGTCAAATTAAAAGAGATCAAATGATTCAGAGCCTACGAAACAAGATGTTTTCTTAAACTGAATTCTTCAATTTTTAACAACAAAATTGAAGATAATAGATTTTTGCCTTAGACAAAATCTGTTGTACAAAATTAACTTTTTAAAAAAAGGCAGGTACAATTGTTTGAAAAAACGAGTAGTTTATTTGTAATTTGCGCTAGAAATTTACCAAAAACTTTTTTTTTAACTTCTCAAACTTTTTTCTTTAAATTTTCCTCACATATGTAATAAGAGACGTTAAAAATATGGTCCTAGCCCCATTTCCATTTATTTCTTTTTAAGTAAGAAAACAATTCAAAATAGCAAAATTGAAGACAATTTATTTCTTTTTACAAAGTTTGTTATACAAATTTAGCACTTTAAAGTAAGTCGTGTACAATTTTTTGTAAAAGTTAGTAGTTTTTACCTAATTTATGTTTGGAATTAATGAACCACATACGAGCGTCCCGTCGTACTTACCGATAACATTGGATTATTGCGAAAAAGTATGTTCTGTGGCAACACCATTAGTTATTATTGCATTTCAATTGTGGGACAATGGCAGATCAAGAGTTAAGTAAGACTATGCCTTTACCAAAGGATAATCCATAAATATGCACTTACACGTAGACGATCATTGGGTATTTCTTCGATTTATCCAAGTTCGGCGGCAGCCACAAGCGAGCTTGCGCGACGATCCCGGGTGCGACTTCAAGCGTAAAGTTGCCCTCCACGGACGGCAGTTTTCGCTTGCTCAGCTTCTCGATAAGCTCTTTATTTTCTTCCAAGTAATCTCCCCAGGTGGCACCGCCGTCTGTCGTTATCTGTAAAGAAAAAAAAATTACTTCCAAGTACAGCTGCATATCATTCTCTCTGTTGGTGGTCACATTTCAAACTCTTTGATTGGCGAACCCCTTGTGTTAGACTGAATTATTCCCATGGAATTAAATTCTGGATTTAATTTTTATGGGAAATATTTTCGGTAAAACGTTCATTTGCGGAAACTCAAGAGCATAAGCTATTATTATATGAATATTGTTACTCACGTTAACTTCATTTTAACATTAAATTGTGAATATAAAACTGTAAGTAAATATTTATAAACTGCTAAGAAGTATTCATGAATTCATACTAAAATCAAATGCTCCACTGCAAGCTTGAAAAGTTTGTCTTAAATGTCCAGATGTTTTTCGAACAACATAGCAGTGAATCAAACGTAAAACAAACGATGTCGTCATTGAAACTGGGTAATAGTAGTAAGTGCTCTGTTACATTTGCAAATGCAGTATGGGTTAAACTACGTGTTACTTTCTCGCTACCACTTACGCAGTAGAAAGAAAGCTATATAATGCTGCTCAAACAATTAACAAATATTCCGCAGCAAACTCTTATTACAGGGCCATGGTAACGGAGAAGTGAATAATTCCAGTTGCTAAATGTAGAAAAAATCCTCTAACATATAGTGTAAGGATCCATCTTTTGGGGGATTTCAATACCGAAAACTCGAATGACGGCTAAACCGTCTGTCCATCTGTCCGTTAACCACCCTAGTGACTAAACCTTGCAGCCGATTTTCTCCAAAATTAATATTCCTAATTTTATTGGGCTTATGTTGAGTATCGTTGAATTTGAAACCGATATATTATTTTTGGGGGTACTTTACATGAAACACCTGGGACATTTTGAAAATTTTCAAATAAATGGCTCCATCGTTTTTATTAAATTTTGTTGTTGAATAGTGTGAAAGACTTTTAAGAAAACGGTGCATGTTTCATTTTCGTTGCAAACTCTCAATGTTCAAACACTTCTAAGATTGAAACTTTTTTCGATACAGTACAAGAAATTTGTGCTATTGCACATGTTTCAACCCTAAAATCAATTAGCTCTTAAGAACCGTTGAACAGGTTCACGGCCCTCCGCGGACCCAAAATCGTTAATCATGTGTTTGATTTTCTCCAACTATTGCAGTCAAGGTCTCGAAACGTTATTTTAAAGAGGTTCTATGAGAATATTATATTTCATATACGATTGCTATTACGGTATAAATAAAATGTTTTACACTCCAACTGTTGTTCGTAGAAACCACCATTTTAATCGTGTAAACTACGTCGTGTTTGCTTGCGTGTGGATTGGGCGGAATTTGCTCATCATTCTACAGTTTGGTCCAAACTGTATCTCCATAAAAAAAAGACATTCTTGTCAAATTAGAAAGTGATGGCCAAATTTACATTGAAGTAAAGACGTTTGTATAGTTAACTATGTTTTATACTGAATATAAGTTTGCATTTACGGTAAATCAATACTGAATTATTTATTTAAACATTTTTGCGAGTAAAAGAACAAATACTTTAATGCTGGTTTATATTATTTACTATTCTAAGGAAAATAGATAACGTAACTTTGGGCTATGAAATATCAATTTAGAGCATTTCATTCAAAAAGTACATTCCAGGATATTGTAGTTGTGTTTATTTAGACTGTCACGCATATTTATCATATTATTATCAAGACTGGAGGACACGGGAAAACTAGAGTTAAATGTTCATTTTTAAGTTTATTGAGAACATAACTGTTTCCTTGGACAACGTTTATGTGGAGGTAAATGTTGATCGACTTTCCGCCTGTTGTGAAGAAAGCTTGAACTTGAAACAGGCGAATGGGGATTCTTGGGGGACCAAAGGGCGGAACAACGTTAATGTTTTGCGGGGAAAGCTTGAACTGGAAGCAGGCGCCCGGGGCTCCCTGCGGGGGGGGGGGGGGCTCACCGTGGCCAGGCGCACGGCGGCGGGGCCCGGGCCCGAGCACGTGAAGGCGGCGCGCGAGAAGTCCGTGCTGAAGGAGGCCGACGCGTAGAGGCAGGCCGTGCCGCCCTCGTACGGCTGCACCAGGCTGCACGACAAGCACTGCAGATTCGCCGCTCCTTGGTCGTTTATGGAGTACACGTGGCGCTGCGCCGGATAACGTGGGGGTGCTGCCTGGAAGTAGCTGCGCATAAGATAACACAGATTAGTCATTTTTCGCCATCTAAAAAAGGTAAAACCTCATGTAAAATGTTTGCGTTTGTAATAGGAAAAGTGACAAGCATGTGAGGCAAATGAGACACGGACACTGCCACAGCGCCATAGAAAAAACAAATAACAATTTTATTTTAAGTTATGTGTAAATTGATATTATGCAACATACTTTATAAATGTAATGTTTTATATAGTAAAACCTGTCCAAGATTGAATCCATGTAAGATGGAAACCTACCATCCACAATAAAAATCTTAGACCAGAACGACTTAATGATCCTTACAAGCTGAAAACTTGTCTAACGCGAAAACGGGAAGGTTTTCTGAGAAAGTAAAGTGATTATTACATTGCTAAGAAGGAATTTCGTTTTTAAATATTAGCCACTATGTTTGGAATGGTATAGTGCAAAGGTTCACGACCACGAAGAACGAGATATTCCTCTTGCTTGCTATTGAAGAATTTTTGGCGAACTCAGTGTCTGAAGTCGTAGGCTTCCGCGGCGAGAGTCATGTGCGTTATCTGGACTGTCCCGGTGACGCCGCGTCGAAGGCTGTCGACGTTTAGTGTTTCGACCATCCTGTCGTGGTCTTCCTCAGGTCTTCCTCACAGCGAGCATACCAGCCCTGAGGAAGACCATGTCAAGATGGTCGAAACGTCGGCAACACAAGTCTTCGACGCGGCGTCACCCGGACAGCCAAGATCCCGCACGAACTCAGCGTCTGTTTCGCTGCGCCTATCTCACGTTTGGTGTGATTTTTCATGGACACAACAAGCGGGAAATCGTCGCCATCACCTGAATCCACAATGGTGGTCGCCCGCACCGCATTCACTGCTCAGAAGCGTCACCACTTTCCTTGAGTCGACAATGGAATTACAGGGAGATTAACTTGTCCTATACATTGTCCTTGTCTATGTTCTATATTTTCCCCGTATTGCTATCGATTTCTTCTTCAGTATTTTCATTGACTATTCCGCTCGTGTAATTAAAACCAGTAGTGTTTTACTATATATACAAAATGCCTCAATTAGGACGGTGTATCTCAAAAAGTGTGTCGCTTTTTCTATCCGATTTTTCTTACCGCTTCTACCAACTGGCCAATTTTAAACTGTAAACTGGTAAATTTTAAACCAATAAACAGCCAAGTCACTATAACGTAATCTCTTTGATTTCAACATATGTTTTCATTTATTTTCAATATTTGGCGTATACTGGCACTATGTTGGACATAATTTCATTCGTGGAATAGACCTATTAAATACCACTCGTAATTTGGAAACTCTCAGAGAAATCCCCTCATGGCATCGCGGGTAGGGAATTTATCGACAATTTTCAAAGCACTCGTGGTATTACTTACGATAATATATGCTTATTTTCATTACTTTTTTTTCAGAAAGTACATAAAAAATACTGTACTTAAATTATATGGTGAAGTTTTAGCAACCCCCAAGGATGGAAATTTAACAAGACGTAGTAGTAGTAGGAGGAGGAGGAGTAGAAGTAGTAGTAGTAGCAGTAGTAGTAGTAGTAGCAGTAGTAGTAGTAGCAGTAGTAGTAGTAGCAGTAGTAGTAGTAGGAGGAGGAGGAGCAGTAGTAGGAGGAGGAGGAGGAGGAGGTGGTGGAGGAGGAGGAGGAGGAGCAGTATTAGTAGAAGTAGCAGTAGTAGTAGTAGTAGTAGTAGTAGCAGTAGTAGTAGTAGTAGTAGCAGCAGCAGGAGTAGTAGTAGTAATAGTAGTAGTAGCAGTAGTAGTAGGAGCAGTAATAGTAGTAGCAGTAGTAACAGTAGCAGTAGTAATTGTAGCAGTAGTAATAGTAGCAGTAGTAGTAGTAGCAGTAGTAGTAGTAGTAGCAGTAGTAGTAGTAGTAGGAGGAGGAGGAGGAGGAGCAGTAGTAGTAGTAGTAGTAGGTGGAGGAGGAGCAGTATTAGTAGTAGTAGTAGCAGTAGTAGTAGTAGTAGTAGTAGTAGTAGTAGTAGTAGTAGTAGCAGTGAAGTAGAAATAGTAGTAGTAGGAGGAGGAGCAGTAGTAGTAATAGTAGTAGTAGCAGTAGTAGTAGCAGTAGTAGTAGTAGGAGGAGGAGGAGGAGGAGGAGGAGGAGGACGAGGACGAGCAGTAGTAGTAGTAGTAGGAGGAGGAGCAGTATTAGTAGTAGCAGTAGTAGCAGTGGTAGTAGTAGTAGTAGTAGTAGTAGCAGTAGTAGTAGTAGCAGTAGTAGTAGTAGCAGTAGTAGTAGTAGCAGCAGTAGTAGTAGTAGTAGTAGTAGTAGTAGCAGGAGGAGGAGGAGAAGCAGTAGTAGTAGTAGTAGCAGTAGTAGTAGTAGCAGTAGAAGTAGTAGCAGTAGTAGTAGCAGTAGTAGTAGCAGTAGTAGTAGTAGTAGTAGCAGGAGGAGGAGGAGCAGTAGTAGTAGTAGTAGCAGTAGAAGTAGTAGCAGTAGTAGTAGTAGCAGTAGTAGTAGTAACAGGAAACTTGAGCAACAGACAGTATGGCTTTAGACAACAAAAGTCGACGCAGGGGGCTATTGAAAATGTTCTCAGTACAGCGAGGAAGGCTAACAACAGAGGCCTGTTGAGTGCATTAATACTCCTGGACGTAAAAAATGCATTCAACAGTGCG